CCCCAAAACCCCAAAACCCCAAAACCCCTATATTAAAAAATTAATTGAGGTTTATTCATTTAATACAAGAGGAAAGATCTATTCAATAGCAAGGACTCTCTTAAAAAAGCAGGTGAGAAGTTTTTCAAAATCCTGGAGAGGAGAGATACAAGAATTTAAGCCAGAAAACTTTGGGCTGAATGGGGAGTTTAGACTCACTAAGTATGCCAAACTTAAAGGTTGAGGCTGCAAAGTTCCTCAGGACCAGCTCTTCAATTATCTCAAAGATATTGGAGATGGGTCTATTGGGAAAGAGACACCAGACTGCTCAGTCACTAAATATTACCATGATGATAGCATAAATCTAGTTTCGACTATAGACTTTTTCTATCCACTGGTTGAAGATCCCTATCTTCAAGGAAGGATTGGATGTGCAAACGTCCTTTCAGACATCTATGCAATGGGTACTGCTAGAGTTGACCACATGCTCATGGTCCTCGCAGTTTCTCTCGACATGGATGCTAAAGAAAGAGAAGTTATTACCCGAGAAATGATCAGAGGCTTCAATGATACAGCTGAAGAAGCGGGTACCGCTATTACAGGAGGTCAATCAATTCTCAATCCCTGGCCAATCATTGGAGGAGTTGCCAATACAGTTGTTAAGAAGGTACTTCCCATGTTTTAATTTGTAGGATGAATTTCTGGTTCCTAATAGAGCTCAGGTTGGTGATGTCATCGTGCTAACTAAGCCACTCGGTACTCAAATAGCAGTGAATCTTAAAGAATGGAAATCTAAGAACAACGACAAATACAAGAAAGCTCTTAAACTCAGAATTGTAACTAGTGACGATGTTGAGGAGATAAATAAAGTTGCAATCCACTCGATGGGTAAACTCAACAAAAACGCAGCTGGACTAGTCAACAAGTATAAATCAGGTGCTTGCACTGACGTCACTGGGTTTGGAATCCTTGGCCATCTTGAGAATCTAGCTGAGGCACAGTCAAGTGACGGATTGGAACTTAGAATTAACAAGCTGCCTGTTTTGAAAAACTCAGACAAGATCGAAGAAAGCATTATGAACTTCAATCTTGTAAAAGGATATAGCGCAGAAACAAGCGGAGGGCTTATGGCTTTCCTTAAGGAAAAGGACGTCAAGGATTTCCAGAATGAACTCGAAGTCAAATATGGAGAGAAATCCTGGGTTATTGGCGAAGTCAGAGAACGAAAAGAAGGAAATAAAGCAACCATAGCAAAAGATGTCGAAGTTATTTATGCTGATTCGGTGTTTTGATAAATTCTTAGCTCAAAGTGAAAACAAGAATTTCTGATTATTGGAGCTCTTTGATATTTGAAGAGATGAGCACTCTGATATTTGGATCATGGGCATCATGATTTTCCTATCTCGAAATTAAGGAGATACGAGATGAACTATCTTCTCATAATTCTTGTGTTCATTTATAGTTATTTTATCAAAAGAATCACGATTCAATATTGAGGAATCGCATTGGGGTTTTGGGGTTTTGGGGTTTTGGGGTTTTGGGGTTTTGGGG